CTTCCCCGTTTTGTTCAGCTGCTGTTGAGGGTGTCGACTCGACTGGTGGGGATGGCTCCGTTTTGGTATCCTGCACTTTCTCCACATTTTCTTCTACTAGTTTTTGCTCCTTTTCTAGCGATACTTGTACGTTCTCGTTCTCCTCAGCAGGTGGCTCCACTAAAATTTTAACTTCTTCTAAATTCGGTAATTCGCTGTCCTTTGGTGGTGGCTCCTCAACTTCTTCTACCTTTGGCGGAGACGGTTGTTTTTCTTCAACTGGCAGTTTTGTTTCTATTGGTGTTTCTGGTGGCGGTGGCTGTGGCTGTACATAAATCGTAGATATTTGAATTAAAATTTTCTTTTCCTTTCAATAGTCTCTCTTACCATTGGCGATGGCGAACGTGATCTTGGTGCCGACTTGACAATCTTCACTTTGTACGCATTTGCCGCTCTACGCTCAGCCTCGATCTGTTCCTTGCTCTTCGGTATGGGTCGATCTGGCTTCACCAAAAAAGTTGACCACTTTTTATTCTCCTTATCCTTTTCCGCTTTGGTTTTCGTAGCGCTCTCATTTAGTGTACGCAGCACATCACTAGCCATACAAACGCCCGGCTTGGGGAATATTCTGTAGAAATTTACGCTAATGTAATAAATCTAAGTTAACAAACAAAGTCCACAGCACACCATGCATATCTGCTTCACAGAACTAACCCCAAAACGTTATGATCCTGAAGCACCTCCGATTCGCCAGAAAGCACGGCAGCAATCTCTTCTTCAACCAACTTGATTTCAGTTTGCTCGGAAAGCACCGATGATGGACGTTCCGCTAGTTCGGGTAAGTACTCCGTCTGAGCATCTGGCTCCTCAACTGCTAACTGACGTGGAATAGGACTTTTACGTCCACTTATATCAAGGAAAGCTTGCGGTGTAGTAGGACGTTCGTCAACCCCCAAAACGGGGAAAATCTTCGGCACCAGTTCTTCCTCTCCCTCACTGTAGCACAAAACGAACAAAAAGCATTTGAATAAATTTGCACGAACGCACAATTTAAAGGCTGTTCTAATTACCGTTTTACACCGATGAAAAATACATTTCCACATTGCCTAATAACTTTGTCTGCTTCGTCATGCGAGAGCGGCGAAGTGGCGGTATCGTTAATTCGCACAATGACGTCACCTTCACGCAAGCCAGCCTCCTCAGCAATGCTGCCCTCATTGACCTAATTTCGGAAAAAAAATGCCACAAATTAACAAATTATGAGAAAATCAAACACCAACAAAGGATTGTGTACAAAATCGAATAAAAAATTCCTTTGCACGCCGAGTCAAGTGGCGTTTGCTGTTTGCTAGGTCAGTGAGTTAATTTTGGTAATGAACTTTTTCGAAAATCCGCTCTCTACCCCGAGCCGCCACGAGTCATACGTGACAGTGAATGCGACAGCTTCATTTGCGTGTGTCCGAGCGTGCGCCTGTGCTGCTGCTGTTTAATGCCGCTGAGCACCCATTGCTTCCTTCTTGTGTGGTAATTTCCTCTCGGTTTATTTGCTTGTCTGGCTAGACACTGACGTATTGCATGCGTCGCAATTGACAGTTGGCGGCCCAGTGATTACATTGGGTGGGTCAGCGGTGATACGCTGCCGACAAAAATTGGCATGCTACTCGTATAGTATTCAAGTTAAAGGAGGAAATAAAAAAGTATGTATATATGTATGTATGTGTTGTATTTACGTATTTTTATTATGTAGAGCATGACAATATAAATGGGAAGAAAATGCAAATTCGCCAGGGGATAAACGAAATTCGAAACTTGAAGTGATACAACGAGAGAAAGGTGACAAAATTTATGTACATATGTACATATATTAAACCACGTAAAAAAAAAATGCAACGCCGGAACCCGACTAAAATTTTAGTATTTGGTATATTAATGGTCCTCCTCTGAAAGTCTCTGCCGTTATGCTAAGAGGTAGCCAAAATGAGTTAATCTCTTTTGAGATCAATATAATTTTTTAGGATTAACCAAAACGCTCAATACTATACGAATACTATTTATGCTATTTAAGTATTTTGCAAACTCATATTCTTTAAATTTCTAAATTTTTATTTTATTAATCCTGAGCCTGTATATCACTTAAATGGCGTAAGATCAATGTACTCTTACAGTATCGGACGATTTGATTGATCTTAGAAATTATAATGACCTAAAAAAGAAAGAACAGATTTTTTTACGTACGTCTTTACTTAAAAAACTTATTGCAATAAAGAATAACAATTTGGGTACCATATGAATGAAAATATTCTGTAGAAATAAAAACGTTTAAAATTTTTTGGTGCATAAGGATGCATAGGTATTGAACAAGTCATTTGAAATGGTTCTCCTTGAATATCCTTGAAAATTTGCAATAAGTATTTTTGAAAAAGTTTTATGTTAAGAATTGATTTACAAACGACTACATCCACGAATTTCGAGCTTTGCCCGGAGTGCACATACTTTTTAAAGTTTTCAAGGTTTGGATATCAAATATTTGTCATTTGGATAGCTTTAAAGAAATATTTTGGAATTAAAAAAAAATATTATATTAAGTAAACTTCTTACTCTAAAATTTTGGGTGGAACCCTATTCGGAAACACGCTGGAATGAATAGTACATATCTAGAGCGTATATATAATTTATTATACATTATATTTATTATTATATAATTCGAACAGGTGGCAATCTATATGAGTCTTCTCGGAGATAATACCTATTCAGATAACCTTAAAATCCAAAACATCATCGTTTACAAAATATCATCAAAATCATTAGAGCCGTTTCCGAGAACTCTATGGATATATATATATATACTCGTTCGAATGGACACCGACGCTCCAGCTCTGGAAGTATTCAACTCGGAACCCGCAGGTGGTAGAGGAGAAAGAGAGAGGCCACCACTGAGATGAGAAGACCAGGTGGAGAAGGACTTGGCTTCACTGGCAATTCCAATTGGCGTCAGTTGGCATAGAAGAAAAACGACTGACGTGCTTTGTTGAACTTGGCAAAAATCGCTTGTTACAGCGCGAAATAATAAGAAGAAGAATAATAATTATTTCTGCAACTATCTCAATTTTCAATGGATTTTGGACTTTAATAGCTTTCTAGATAGCATATTTGAATGGAAATCAGGCATTATAGTAAACTAATTGGGAAAGTTTCGTGCCACTAATTTTTATCCGATTGCCACCAAATTTTTTATGGAAGCATTAAGGCTAAATGGACACTTTTTCTTCCTGGCGTTTTGGAATTAATTTTTAAGCACCAGTCTATTGTATACACATTTGCAATATTTGGCTGTAAATTATGGATACATAAGGAAGGGATGCGATAAATTTAGGGTTTTTAGTCCACCATGGACTATCGGACAGTGTAGTTATGTATTACGATAAGGAGAGTGGGCCGGCAGTTGGAGAAGGTTGGGAACCACTTGTCTAAACCATCAATGGTCAATACGTTCGCCGAAACCATCAATAGTGCCGATAGTGCTATCGATTGTTTCAGACCTTTACTATGTATGTATATTAGGACGGGTCAATTTGTATGGGAGATTTTTTCGACTATAGGCGTATAGCATAGGAGGATTTTATGAGTAATTGTAAGCAATTTTGCCAAATAAACCAAGGGTCCAGAAGCAATTTGGAGTTTGCTAAATTGCGAAAATAGGTTTTCTTTACTTATTATTTTGCTGTAGTGTCGTAAAAAAAGTACTTAAACGAGTTTTTTTTACACCAAAATAAAAGTAATGAGAAAATACTTTTCAATGATAGTTCACAAGTCTAAATCGGATTAGCTTTGGCCCAGTTATTCAAGTTTTTTTAAAATAACTTTGGAAAATAGTTAAAAAACAGCATCAAAAGTATCATTGATATGATATATATGATTGTGTTGAAAATATTTTTAAATAATTT